AATCTAGTATACAGATACAATGAAAACACTTCACAAGGGAAAATTAATCAGTTTTCAAACTAGCAAAAAATTTTAAGCCACATTACTCTAGTATACAGTTTAGATCATATAAAACACCTCTTAACAATAATGAAACAATAGTCAAGCATGCACTATTAACTTTGGACTATTAACTTTATTTAAAAAAAAACTAGATCTGAGGAAATACCCAACAGGAAATACCCAACAATTATTACATGTGTTCTTCCATGAAAGCTCTTACAAATCCGTGATTGTCGGTTCAATTGAAAGCTTGCCCAAATCTGAAAGATAGACAAATATAAAGTTAATAAAAATCAAATAATTTAACATACAAAAACATAAATGATAAATACCTATGTCTAACTTCTCAAGAGCATCCAAATCTTCTTCAAAGCAAATTTTGCTCGAACCCGGCGCAGCCAACAAGTTTCGAAGCCAATCGGAAGTGCATACTAGGCTTTGTACCATTCTCGAAGTTAATGAGCTCCTAAATGGATCAAGTACTCGTCCACCTGTACTAAAAGCAGATTCAGAAGCAACTGTGGAGATTGGAATAGCCAATACATCACGAACCATCCGAGAGAGAATTGGGAACCTTGCACTATTAACTTTCCAATAAGCTAAAATATCAAAGTTACTTTGATCGGCTTCAACATCCTCGCTTAGAAATTTTTCCAACTCTGATTTTGCTTCGACACTTCCTTTTGCGGCTTTCAACCTTTTAAACTGACTTCTTACATCGGTTATTTGATTAACATCACCACTGTCAATATTATTAGATGAAGCACCAATTGATTGCTCACTTGCATTTATTTCAGTTCCATATTTAATCTTGTAGTCATTGATACTTTGAAAAAAAGATTTCGAGTTCAGAACTGAGATCAGTAAAATAAACCCAACAAAAATAAGTTCAGAAGCTAAAACACTAGTCCAGAAGCTTGGAACAATTGAACTAACAAAGCTTGGAACAATTGAACTAACCAAGATGACAAGAAAATAAACCCAACAAAAATAAGTTCAGAAGCTAAAACCTCGGCCTCGGCGACGGCGACGGGTGCGGATGGCCCCCCATGACCGGAGATAGATCCTGAGCCGGAGACGGATCCATGAAGAGTTGAAGACTAAGGAGGCGGAGCGCTGGCGGGTGGCGGCTGGCGGCTGAGAAGAATGAGAGAGAGTGAAAATTGGGGAAATGAGGGCGGCGACTGAGAAGAATGAGAAGAGTCTGGGAGAGGAAATGACAAATGAGGTTAGGGTTAGAGTTTTGATTCGTTTTGGGTTTGTGGAATGGGGACGGGTCGGGTATAGTATACGGGTAGGGGTGTTTGAGAATTGCTGAATTGGGGAAACAATAAACAGTTCGGTCGGTTCGGTGCTTTCGGTTTGAGCAGTTTATAACCCGACCCGAACCGCCCAATTCCTAAAACCGTTTATTTCGGGTCGGTTCGGGTCAGTTCGGTCGGTTTTTTCGGTTTGAACTGAACCGTACTCACCCCTAGGCCCAATGGTGAACCCTCCAGCCGATGAGCGGTCCACCCCTAGGTTAGACTTGGGCCTGCGATACTCATGTTTTCTTTACATATAAGAGTTAAAATTGCTTTAAAAAAATCGCGACGTGTATATCCTCAATCAACCGAGACGTATGTTGTTGTAGCCCTCGATTAAGACAATGTAATCTTGTAGATAGAGAAATTAGATTTTCTTTACAAGAACATGTTCTTATTTGCATCCATATCCGTTCTTGGAATATGGATAAATATATTATAAGTACGATATCTGAATCACATCTAGTTCAATTGGACCGCTAGCTCCTCAACTTTGGGTAGCGTTCCCCAGGAGGTTCTTCCTGAATTTTATTTGTTTCACCGAACATCCTTAAACAGTTCAAGTTAAACTTTTAAGTTGTCTCCCGAACCGTATCATACTTAAAAATTTTCCAAATGGATTCTCCCAATGGCGTTAACAGCATTACTGACCATTATTTTGCCTGCGGAGTTCAGGGGCTGTTTGTTTGCCTAAAAAAAAGAGGAAAATCAAAGAATAGGAAACCTATTTCTAAGAAAAATTATTTTGAGATTGTTTGGTTGGCTAAAAAAAAAGAAAACAAAGAATGAGAGATGTGTTGTCACATTAGTATTGGATGATGTGAGTGATTTTTTAAGAAAATTTATTTTGAGGTTACTTGGTTGGCTAAAAAAATAAGGAAATAAATTATAAGAAACATATTTCTTGTAATAGGTTCTTTTCTTGTGTTTGGTTCATTCATAAAAATAAGAAAATAGATGAGATGAGTTGTTATTATATTATTGGATGATGTGATCCACACTTAAGGAAATCAATTTCCTAGCTTTTTGGAGAAAATGAGTAAAAATAAAATGTTAATGAGATGAGATAAGTTGTCACCATATTATTGGATGATGTGAGTGATTTTTAAAGATGAGATGTGATGGAGATGAGATGAGTTGGATGATGTGACTCATTTCTTGTGTTTGGTTTATTTTTAAGAGATGATATGAGATGAGTTGTGGGATAAAAATAATATTTTATTGGATGTTGTGGTGAGTTTTAGAGATAAAAATTGATGAAAATAATATTTTATTGATTTTCATATATCCTTTTCCTTTTCTTGATTTTTATGAAACCAACCAAACAACCCCTTAGAGCATCCCCAATGGTATACTCTATATTTAGATGGTTTGAAGAGAATATTCTTCAAGATTCCTCAAATATAGAGGGTTTGTAAAAGTTATGCTCCAATGGTGCCCTCTATATTTATATGAATTAATCTATTATTAACAAACTAATGGTATAAATAAAAATAATTAAAACTTATATTTTTTTTGTAAAAAAAGTATACCTTTAGAACCGTCTCGCCGAAACATTTTAAATGAGATTAATATTGAATATTTTTAGAGTCGTTTTTAAATTAGTTTATTTTAGTATAATAAAATAAAAATATTCGTTAATAAAATAAATATGTGGGGATCTATATAACCCGCCCCAAAGGAACTACATTCAGAAATACAGAAATACAGAAACGATGTAGAGTGGGCATTTGGAGTACTTCAAATATGCTTTTCCATCATCAAAAGATCAACACGTTTTTGGGATAAACGAGTGCTACATGACATCATGACTGCTTGTGTAATACTACATAATATGATTGTGGAGGATGAACGTGAAGAAAAACTAGATAATGCTGATTCAACTCAACCTTCAAATGCTGACGAGATGGATGACAATGACGATGAAAGATTAAGATGATTCCTCGCTCGACATAGGAAAATCCAAGATCGGGAGGCTCACTTTGAACTTGGGAATGCACTCATTGAACATTTATGGTAAAGACATGGTAATGGAATAATGTAATTTTTTAAGCTTGATGTATTTTAAATTCTCTGTACTTTAATATTTCATAATGATAAATTTGAAATTATTATTAAAAGTATTAAATATTAGTCTCATTTTGAAGGTTTCGGCTAGACAATTTCAATGATATAATTTTTATTTAAAATAGACTAGTAAATTTAAAATTATATTAAGTTAAGTAATTAGTTTAATTATATTCAAGGATACAATTGGTATTTATAAAAAGTTATAAATGAGATGAGAAGGTAAAATTAGAATTAAAATATATGAATAGTATTTTAGAGGGATCCCTCTATATGAGCCCAAACCCTTCAAATATAGAGGGTTACTGTAACACCCTCTTAGTATAGAGGGTGCTACAGTTGTACCGTTGGAGCCAATGATACTTCATTTATAGAGTAATGGAGTACCATTAGAGATGCTCTTACATAGCGGGCCATCACCGCTGTTGGGGGTTTCGTGGGGAAACTCTGAAAGCGTGGGACATTTTGTGAGACTTCCGAAAATACAGGGGTTTAAGTGAAATTTACCCCATATCCCCCACTTTTCGCAAAGCGCACACGGACGCGGACCCTCCCCGGTTTTCAGATCTCCCCTCACCGCATGAAATCTCCCCCCCCCATCAACCCTCGTAATTCCCCCCAAATTTCAAGGGCATTTATTTACCCTCGTCTCAAATCTCAGAATAAAAAGACACCCCCGTCTCCTTTTTATTGAAATCTCCCCGATACCTCCACCGCCCTCTTCCTCCATCCCCCGGAATTCTCCTTCAATAGCAAGAACCGCAGTGCGGATAAACCCCAACGCCGAGGGCAAAGATGTCGAAGAAGAAATCCTTCAGCGGATCCACAATGACGCTCAAGGATTTCCATGGCGGTTCAATCCCCTCCGATCTCGCCCTCCCCTCTGCCCCCGGCGTGTAAGTTTCCCGAAATACCCCTCCTTTCCCGACGCGCCGTCCTATGTTTCAAAGTCTCATCTCTCTTTTTCGGTTGCAGGTCGGCGAGGCCGCCGGTATCGGTGGGGCCCTCTCGTCGATGGGGTCGCGTAGCGACGCACCACCGACCTCGGCCCGGATCCGCCGGCGGAGGGCAGTGGGCGGCCGCTTGGGACCGGATTCGGTCGTTGACGAGCGGGGCCGCCGTTTTTATCGACTCCCGGTGAACATCGGGCGCCACTTTCGACGAGGACGAGCGCAAGCCCTTCGATGCCTCCGCCGCTTCCCTCGTCGATCCGCTCCGGTTCCCGATCCGGTCTCGGAGACCGTTTAGCATTTCTGCGCGGTGCGACCCGAAACCGCCTGCTCAGCCGCAGCCTCAGCCTAGATCTGGGTCCTGGGACGGCGCCGAACGCGTGGGGATTGAGGAAGGAAGAGACCAAGCCGGTCCTTGAACCGGTTCAACCGGTTCGGTTTTCGGGGCGAGCTTGTCGTCGAGATTCGCGCAGTGGCCAGCGCAATCGATTCAGGTCTCATCGGGGGATGGAAGCTGATGAAGCCTGTAACGCCTTCGGCTGCCTGATGGGGAGGCGGTTAGGTTGAGGAGACAGTTAGGGTTGGTGGATGAGGCGAGGTGAGTCACCATTGCATCAGAAGTGAAGGAGAAGGCTGTTGGTATATAATTGATGGGAGCAAGGCCGGTTTCGAATGAGGGAAGGTCGGGTGGTGTGTCCCAGATGCATCAGCAGCAGCAGGGGTTGGGGTTGGAGGGAGGGGAGAGGCCGAAGTTGAAGCTTTTACCGAGGTCAAGGCCAATGGAAGGAAATGATACGTGGTTCTTGGATGAGAAACAGGTACACAGCTTTTCTTCCCCTTCAGTTTTATATGGGATCTATTGTAATGACTAGTTTTCATTTTAAAAAAAATCTATCTCTTTGCTCAATCATGTTTTTAGTATATTCCCGATATAAAATTGTGATGGCGGAGGAGAAGGTGTGTTAGGGTTGTAGGAGGATGAAGCTGCAACAATACAAGAATATGAGGATGTGGCAAAGTTGCTTTTGATGAGAAGGCGATTATCCTGATGGAGCGGGAAACTAAGCTACAATTAAAGTTGGGGCCTGAGTTTCGGGTTCGGGTGGCTTGAAGGGTGTGTGCTCGCATGCACGTGTGTTGTTTGTGTGTGTTTTAGTGGAGCATATGGCCTTAGGAGTGTAGAAAGGGTTCGGAGAGTTAGATTCTTTTTTTTGTTACGCTGATGATGGTCATGGTAATTAGGGGGACTAGATTCGTACAAAGGAGTTGAGATTAGGACTTGGATTTTTGGATGCTTGCTAGTGATATGAAGAGTATTTCCAGCAAATTGTCAAAGTAGCTTATTATTTGGTGGCTTATAAGCTATGAGGTTTGACCAAGTAAAAGATAATTATACCCCTTATAATTTCACAAAATTCAAGGCCTCATTATTATTAACTCATCACTGACCTCATTGTCCTTTTTGGTCATTTTGACTATAAATATGGATTATAATTCACCCATTTACCAAACACTTTACTATTGAAAGTGGATTATAATCTGCTAAATTTATGAAACACACTAGATTATAATCCGCTTGGATTATAATCTATTTGTGGATTATAAAAGTCTATGTAGCACGGACACGGATCCGACACGGCCATCCGACACGCCGACACGAGGCAAATCCTAAAATATACATAGGATACGTGTGTTCGACACGTGTGTCCGACACGTGTGTCCGACACGGACACGACACGACACGACACGGTTTCATGTTATGCGTGTCCGTGCTTCATAGATAAAAGTTGCGAAACATGCTCAGTGTAACTTGATACGGTTTTTGTGGATATATAAACATCCTTGTTTAGCGGAATACTCAGTACAAATATGGATAATTTCTATCTTTGATCAAATATATGTGCAAATATACATAGAGAAGTTAGGTGAAAATATGATATTAGCTGGTCCAAATGATTGAGATTAATTTGGTCCTAGATTAATAACTTTGAAGCCATTTGTGGTGAATCTGGTGATCAAGGAGTCTAATCCCAAGTTTTGGTGTAATAGATATGTTAAGTCTCTAATTTGAGAAATTTTATTGTATATGGACATTTTGTCTATAGTATGATTTATATACCTTTGAGTCTTATCTATCACGTTCACATTTCATATGTATGCATATTAGTTTCATTTACTTTCAATCTATATCCATTTCCGATCTTTGATGAATATAGATATGTGTTTTCCTTACCAAAACCCACCTATATGCGTGTTAAGATTCATAATTAAAAATGCATACATATAGTTAGATATGATAAATAGTATTTTGATTTGTGTTTGAATCATAGTTGCGTGGTACGTCACTTATTAGGAATCAGGTACTAGGGGATAGGCTTATATGGTATGCTAGGAAACGTGGTATGTGTTATGTTTGGTTCTCAAATGCAGGAATTGTAGGTTTTGCAATAATCAAATTTAAGAAATATGCTAGTTGATGTCATTAATGATAAAAGAACCTTGAGAATTATGTTGCAATTAAAGTATGCATACTTTATTTGGTTAATTGACTTTTTTGTTTATTCTATTGAAAAAAAGTTATTGTTTGTTAAAATTTTAATTGGTTTGAATTCTAAATCGGGTCATTAGAGTTGGTGAATCGGGTCTCGTTCCATTGTGAATCCGGGACGATTGAACTCGGATCGGTTTGCTATGGTGTCCCACGTGCCCGACTTCTATGATCTGAATCCTTTGCACCCATAACAATGGTAAATGGTCATTGATCATTTTTGAATAAAATGTTTCCATGTCATTATGCTATACTTAACATCCTCTTATACATCCTCCATCACCTATGTTATGCATACATGGCCCCATGAACATGGCTATGAATACAAATATAAACATTACCAATTTGTAAAAAGTATAATACAAGGTTTTTGGGGTAATTGAACAGAGTAAAGGCCCAGAAAACAGAGGACAAAAAAAAAAAAACTAAGCAAAAGCGGGGAACAGAATCCCCTTGCAAATCACTGAAAATCGAAGGTAGCAGACCATTAGGAGGATCTTCAAAAAATAGTATATCTGCAGATACGGTGAAGCCAAATTTAACAAGCCAATTTGTACACTGGTTACCTTACCTGTAAATGTGGACAAATCTCACATCCCAATCCTTTGTGAGTAGCAAGTTAATCTCACCCAAAATGGTCGAATCCAAAGACTCGGAGGCACACTTTCCTTGAATTGCATCTACTAGTAGAGTTGAATCGCCTTCGGGTATAACTTTTCGATATCCCTTGTCCCAACATAATTGTAGTCCTACCTGAGTTGCCCATAACTCTGCTTTAAGAGCAGAACGATATCCAATTGAGCCAGCAAAACCACCAAGAAAAGCACCGGTATCGTCCCTAAGAAGACCCCTAATGCCAACTATGTCTTCTATTGAAGATCTTGCCCCATCCGTGGTGGTCTTAACCCATCCTTGCTCTGGTTTAGACCAAGAAATATCGATAGATTCCCTAATTTTTTGCTTGTCCCAACTCATGGAAGAATCCAATGCACGCCTAATATCATTCACAAAAGTCATAATAGCCATTATCGGTGAAGCAGGCCTCTCAAAATTGTTGTCAAAGATAGAAAAATTTCTCCATTTCCATAAAAACCAACACGTAACACTGAAGATACAATCCCAAGCCGAACCACTACAAGTGCCCATATCGAATTGAAGGTTCATTGATAACCAATCTATTAAAGGAAAATTGAAAAAGCAAGATTTTTTCCAGCTAAGCACCATGAAATTCCATATTTCTTTTGCCCTATTGCAATCACGGAGTACATGAAGAGTCGTCTCAATAGTATTCGGGCACCAATTACAACAAGCAGAAGCTGCACAATTACGATGGAAACAGAGCTCGCTAGTAGGAAGCCTATTATGGGACACTAGCCAAAGAAAATAATGTAGGGGTTTTATACGTATATGTGTGAGCATGCGCTTGTGTGTTTTATAGTAAACATAAAAATGGCATCTAGTAAGTTCTCTAAGATCAAAGATCAACAATGAAACTAATTCGTAAAATTCCAAACTTGATAGCACTAAGAAACTCCTAGAAAAATTATTATTAGTGCTACTAATATCTATTACAAATTTGTTTAATTCATCATTTGCCAAGACTGGACTACATTCTCAATTGATTAAATCATACAAATCCAGCTCTAGAAATATTTTTTTAATTGTATCTGAACTTAAAATATCAACTGCTTGGTTAGATATGCTAAGTGTATCCAGACCGACACAATGTCCATAGAATGTCAATGTTCAACATGGTTGGACATGGTAGGAGCTCTATTGAGAAGGTTTCCTACTTTAAGGTCCATCACTCTATTGTCAACAGACTGGCAAAAACTTCCCTTATCAACCTAGTGCTAGCAACCTAGCGAAACTCCTCTCGAAACTTTTGCACTTTGTATGAGAGCTCTTCGTAGTGTATTTGAGACATTGATATAGGCCACTGTTTTAACAAGTCTCGTCTCTCTCTTTTTAGATTAGAAGTGTATTTGAAACATTGATAGGTCGTCCGACTAGGTCTTGGGAACATTTAGGGGAGTATGAGCCGCCTGTGTGGATTTCATCGTTTGGGTCTTGGTTGATATTTTCTTTGTTGCCCCTTCCACATCCTCCAACTTCCTTCGACCTTCTCCGCTCTCATCCACTGACTATGAACACCTTCTCTAACCTTTAACAAAACCTCCTTCGACACTACTTAAATAAAAAAATAAATTCGCCTAGGTCTTGCTTGGGCATCCACCTAGGCGCCTAAGTGCCTAGGTGCCAGTCCGGAGCCTAATGGCTCCTAGTGCTTATTATAACATTGTAGAAACCCTTCTTAAATTACATTTTATAACCATATTAGTTTGATCTTAGTGGCTCCAAACTAGGTTATGGCTACTCAGGAGAACTTCCATGTGTGTCGAAAACTATCTAAACTTTTGAAGCTCCTTGTACCACCATAAAGTCTCTTTCTTCCTGAAGGTAAGAAGGAACCTTGAATTCGTTTGTTGAGTTTGTAGCATCTTCCTGTCCCGTTATTGTGTTGCCTACATTGGAAGCTCTTGAAAAATTGTTCAACTCTTTGAAAGCATACCTTGTCTAGGATGGCATGGTGGATCCTCTATGCTATTTCTCGTAGGCTTCCTTTTTACACTACCTTCCTCATTGATATGCATTCTGGATTTAGCAGGACAACTGGTTTTCAATCTTTCTGAAGCCCCTATATGCGAAGGTAGATGTTGAATTGTCTGCCCCAATTCCTCTGCTTCTTGTCAGCGATGCCAAATTGTTTTAATCACCATCTTTGCAGTCACTAACCTCCAATCATTCTCCTGATTAATTCTGTTATCACCCTTTATATCCTTATATGCCTACAACACCTCTCTGACTTTTTATGCTACTTGATTCAAATGTCAATATGCTATGCTAGCGTTCTCTTCTCATCACTGCTTTCTAGACTCATTTGCATCACTCATCACCCATCCTACTCCATTCAGTCATTATTTATTTTGATTTCACCCAGTTGCTTCTATCTGGTCAATGCTTTTGGCTAACCGGTAGTTCTGCAGCTGATATGGTATGCTGCATATTTATTTTGATAAGAGAGAGGCACCTATATTCAGTATGTACTGAATACTTGGATATGTGATGTCTACGCGCTGGGTGCTTCTATAACATATCTAGTAATTTGTACTGTACCCAAGCATATAGAAGATGTATAAGAGATGTTTCTGAGATTAAGGTATTAAGAATCTTATGCATGACTAGTAGGTTTGACTTCAAGGAGCATTTTATGAAACTGGTTCGCTTGTTTAAATTGTATTTTAATGATCTGAAGTATTGACTTTTCAACCATGTTTGCCTTCAAAAAATTTGTTTTACAAAATATGTAGCAGTTAACCTCACAGAAATAGAGTTTGTTACTGTCCTATCCACAAATTATCCATATCCTGAATTTTCAGAATTTTTTCATTTCTCTGTAGCTGTGTTGTATCCCAGTCATATTTTGTACATGTGTCAGTGCGGCCTAGCTGATTTGGTAACTCTTGATTTTTTGGAACTGTTGTCCCCTTAGATTGGTATGCATGTCAAGGAGAGGTGGCACTATACCCGTCTTGGACCTTCAGTGTGGTGATTTGGTTGGTACTTGGTACCTGTGAGATAACATTCTATGTTGGGGAGTCTAAAAAAATGTGTAACATGTTACATTCTAAGTTGTATGAGTTAAATAAGTCCATCGCAACCAATAAGATGTGTTTTTGATTTGCATGCATATTTTGATTATTAGGAATACTTTGCTTTCCATTTGCTTTTAACTTGCTAGCCTTTGTTTCTATTTTGCAGGAACATCAGCCAACTATACATCCTGTGTGTGTGGAAAATTCTCGTGAGTTGCAGGGAAATATGAATATGCCAAGACCTGGGTCCGCAGGGGCAGACATTGGGGATCGAGGAAGTGAGCGTCCAAGATTGAATCTGAAGCCTCGTTCCTTGCCTGTCGAGCAATCAGATGATATCACTGAAAAAGAAAGGTCAGAAATCTTGCTTCTATGCATGTGTTTGCATGCGCTGAAGTACTCTGTTAGTTTTTATAATTCATCTCAACTTTTCATATTAGGTGATGAACTTTTCATACTGAATTACTTATTCGACTTGCAAGAGTTCAAGTTGGAACTCATGGAAATACCACATTGTTGTTTTGGATTCCCCTCTGATTTCCCTATTTCTGTGCGTAGTGTATTTTTTGGCTTATGCAATTATATCCTTTCCCATATTTCAGCTTACACAAAAATTTTGAATGTTATCTAGTGTTGAAGCATAATATCTGAAACAAACCTAATATTCTTTGAATTCGCATAGTAAACTTGTGTTTTATATATGTCCTTACTTTCGTGATGGTTTAAATTCATCTACCATATTTTTGTAGGGTGGCCCCTGACTTGGCTACTTGAACAGTTTAATGCCTAAAGCTCCATCTTTCCTCAGGCCAGACCTGCGTGGTCATTTTGATTAATCATTTGAAGCGGCTTAAAAATATTTTGTTTTGCATCATTACCCCCTATATAAATGGGCTTTGAAGTTGTTGGCGCTTCATCAATTCATCCTTAAGTTGTTGGCGCTTCATCAATTCATCCTTAAGTCTGCCTGATTTATGAAATTAATTTTAGATGTCTATCCAGATTATGTACTGAACATATGCTCAGCTTTGTCCCTGCTTCAAACATTTTTTTCTATTATCATTCATTTGTATGTTCCAAAAATTTCTGGAAATTTGGGTGGCTAATATTATGTTTACTCTTAAAATACTTTTGACGCGTATTGAGAGTATGTACTTCCATAGAGCCATAGGTATTGTAAAAGCTGAAATGATAACATCACATACCTTCCGTTGAATTGCCCCTTTTTCCATACACAAATTTGGCCTAATTATACCTCAAGGTAGGAAACTGGTCTTAATGACATTCAAGTGTTTTCATAGTTGAAAGACAGCAGTACAAGATAGTATTTTTTCGTGTAAATTACTGTGTGCTAAGCCTTAACCTGTCTGCAAATAAAGAAAACATGAATTTGTTAAATTTATTTGGGACTACAAAGGGCCTCTATATCGGATATTCATTCATGAACAATTGAAAACTGAGTTGCTTTTGTTTGAAAATGAAGTTAGCACCCACCACGCATCACTCAGCAAGGAGTTGTCAGTGGAGTGTATTAGTTCTGCAAAACACTATAATATCGTTATGTCTGGAATCAGTTGGATCAAACACTGAGTTTCTTTTCATTTTTTTGGTTGATTTGATTTAGATAGTCTGTGAATAATTCAATTACAGAGTTCTGTAAGTTAGAATTTTCATTAGAGTGGAACATAAAAAAGAAAAAAAAAATAGAAAATAGAATTAACACTAGAAGTGTGTCAGACACAAGTTCAAAAGAGAAGAGGTTTTTTTTTGGGGGGGTGGGGGGTGGGGTGGGGTTGGGGTTGGGGTACTCTGGCTAAGGCTGCCCCACTACTGCACAACTGAACAGCTAGTTTATAAAATAGCCAGAGCAAAAGATTGACTGATTTATCATTGATAGTTCGCCTCCTTGTGCCAACATATCTATACCCAATAGATTTTGAAGTTTTCTTTTTAATATGGACTTAATCCCATCTGCAGAAGCAGCAGAACCAAAAGAATGGCTTAACAGGGGATTCTAATGTCAAACATGCCTGAACAGGAAAAAACCAGGACACAGCTAAAGAAGGGAAGAGAGACAATAGCCTTTATCCCACCAGACGTTCCCAAGACCAAACTGGGACCCCTCTACACCTTACCTCTTCTTTTGTTCTTCATGCCCCATCCAAACATGGTGCATTCATTTGTGCCTTTAAGGATTATTGCCTCAAGTTAACTTGCCTTGCTAATGCTAGCTTGCCTTCTATATTACTGTCAATTTTAAATTAAAAATAATATAATTCGTCTGTCTGTGTACCCATATGTGTGTGCATGGGTGTGGATGTTGGGTGCACTGCATGTGTGTGCGCGTGTGCATGTATTTGTTATACACACATTAAATTTTTTTTTTCTGATAAATCAATGAAGCAAGTATGTAATTGACCAAGTGTGTATTTTTAAAAAAATTGATAAGCAATGAATGGAGAATGAGAGTGACCAACATTTCATTTACGGTATGAATATGATAGCATATTTGTTTCAATTAAATGACAACCAGAATGAAATTTGAACAAACTATTAAGCCAATATAAACTATTTGATAAATATTCGTTCAACTTACACCCCTAAACATCATTTGCAAAAATCAATAGTATGGTAATGCAGAGTGAAAGGTCATGTGTCCACTTAATTTTCTGTCGATGAAAGAGGTCAGAGAGTCAGTCATCTAAAGTGAGAAAGTGTGTTCCTAGTGCATTACACCTGATCAATCTACTTGTTATGGAAACCCTATTGTCCTTGAAGCATGCCAACCTTTGATTGGGACTACCATAGGTTTTCTTCAAACCTGCTGTTGTAGGTCCATTTTCAGCATGAAGGCCTTTCACCAATTCTTAAGAGATTAACATTATCTGCATAGTCCATTACAGCACAATTCCTAGAATGGAAGCTCACTGGTCACTTTTTGCAGACTTGCAGAGTGTGGGTTTCTGTTTCTGATTTTTGTTTCCGCCTCCAGGACATGTATTGTCAACCACATGGCCCTTTTTTTTCTTTGTGCGACAGTTCTCCAAGAATTCGTTTGAATGTTTGTATTTCCACTTAAAATATCTTCCTTTTTCTTCTACAGGAAATCGGTGTTTGGTGGTGCCCGCCCACGAGAACTTGTATGGTTTCACTCCTTACTGTTTTTCTTTTTGGAGCTTGCTTTCTAGTATATAGGTGATGATGAGTTTTACTTTTTTTCCAGGTTCTAAAAGAACGTGGAGTAGATGATGTTGTAGCTAACAGTCAAGAGGTGATTTCACCAGCTCACAGTCACAGGTACTCTCGGCCTTACTCTCTTGCTGACGATGGCAGTGATTATTACCTGTATAGAGTCTTATGATAGTTATACTAGATACAAGTCAACTTCTAGTGAATACTTCTTGTTGAACTCTGTAATATCTTTCTTGTAACTACTAAGGACTAACTTTCTGTATGGGGTTTACTCTTGGTTTAGCTATGACGTCAACTGCATTACTTAACTCTTACTTTGCATACATGGATCAGTTGATCCTTAATTTATCAAAGATGGTTGTAAACTCCTGAATCAGTTTACTAGATTTCCTGATACACTTGTGTTCCCTTATAAATTGTTGATGATCCTGATGTAATCTGGTTCCACCAAGATAGCATAACAGGTTCTCTGCACCAAATTCCCTTGTTATCAATCTAGAGTCAACTCACAATGGTTAGTGACAAATTCTCAGCCTGGGCAAAACTCAACAGCGAGGGATGTCGGGTATGTACATGAAACTAGAGAAGGAACCATGTTCTCCTAGGCGAGTAGAGTGCCCGAACAAGGTGGTGTACTGATTTTGTTTGCTGTAGGAAATCACTAATTTTCTTTGGGAATCAGAAAAAAGGTAAGGAGCCAAACAAAGTCAGTTCTATTATACACTTCCACATAATCTTGGTAACATGAAAAATGGGAGGGGCTTTTAATATGTGGGATAACTGTGCTCCATTTGGTGTCGTAGACTAAAAAAACCCAAAGTGCTGTCCTTGTGCATGCCCGTCGCTCTGTTTCTATCTTGTCAATTGCCATATTGTAAGGACCCTTTGTTACAATGAGATAGCAAGTTTATTCCATATACTATTGTTGACCCAGATTGCTGCTGCATTGAATTCTTCTATCTTTAAGCAAGAATCGTATGTGTTGGATATACTTTTTGAAGTAGTAGCTAGCTATACTTTCTATTTTGTAACACTATCCTCCAAATATACTCGTGCTTCCCTTAAATTGTTTCGGAAGAATATATCAGAAATCGTGGATGTTTCAAATAACTGACTTTGAATGACTTCCATGCACATGTGACAGCAAATGAAGCGATGTTGTCCTTCTGGATGCTGTATTAAAATACGTTTTCCCAGCCATGTCATTTCTAGAGACCTCAAACACCAATCTACTTGCGATTAGCATTCAATTATTCTGTTTCAATCTTTTTTTCCTCTTTCCTTTTCTTACTTCTTCGATAAACTTCATATAAAATCAGTTCATATTTGTCTTTCATAGTGATCTTTCCTGTCTATTGTTCTTCTTGGTTTCTATGTTTTGTTTCTTAGAGAGAATTTTGTAATTGAAGTATCGTAAGGCATGGAATTTTTTTTGTTCTAATAGAATCTTTCAGCAAGCTAAATACGAAAACAAAAAACAAACATGAAAATTCTCGTCTAGTTTGAATATTGTAACATTTCCTGAGATATCTTCTTGTTATGACTCTACTAATGTTTCCAAATCAGCCTCCATTAAATCCTTAATAATTTAGGAATCCTTTGATGCTAATTAGCAGTATTAGTCAATTGCATGTCCTTTCTGCGCTGTTAAGCACTTGCATTAAACTTGATTTGAGGTAATGTGATGTCGTATTTTCTCTACCATGAATATCCTTAACAAAGTCATGACCAATTCCAGCACTTGGAAACTGTAAATCTTTGTTTACTTCTGAAAATAATATACAAGACAGATGTGAATCATGAGAATATATGTTTGGAAAAATCTAGTTGTTTTAGGAATTACCTTATTTCTCGAATCTTGTAAAGTTCGACAATATACTAAAAGCAACCTGATATATGGTTACATACTTTATTTGGAGAATCATAGTGTACCCAACTGCTATGTTTGTGACGTTTTTTGTTTGTATTACAAATCAGGATTTTGAGATATAAAGTCTGGTTTAGTTGCTTTTTTGGAAGGGTGAAAAGAATGGACTCACTCTTTCCCTGAGAAGGTTTTTATATTCGCCTCTATAGAATATTCCCATGCCCCCCCCCCCCCCCCCCAGGGCCCCTGCCCCCCGCAGCCCTGGTAGATAACTAGCTGATCTCAACGCGCGGCAGACCTAATTTTGTTGAATCTCAACTATATGGCATTTTGCTAACACCTGATGCAGTGCTCTGTCAATTCTATATGTTATACTGTTAGTTCACTCTTCTGGTCTTGGAATTTTTTTTGTTGGGCTTTCTTTTCCAGCCCTGACTATGCGATCGGTTTTTACAAAGGGTTAAAAGTGACAGCCAAAGAACTGACATGAAATCAAGGCAAGAGCCACCTGCTCTAGCCACCAGGCGTGGTGAAAGGTCTGACAGTTCCTCGGTTGATCAAAGAAGCGGAAGAGAGTTTGAGAAGAAAGATGCACGATCAGACCATGAGAAGGTAGACAACCTGAGAGCTTCATGGAGGAATGACAACTGGAAGAACACAAGGGAGATTGAGAGGCCTGCCGAGCGGCGTCCCGAGCCTGAAACATGGCGCAAGCCTGTAGAGCAACCAAAGCAAGAAGTACCAGGTACTGCATCTCGCCATGGGAAAGCAGCCTCAGCATTAGAGCTTGCCCAAGCATTCTCAAGGTCGGTCTCTGATCCTCGATCTGATAACCATTTCCCAAGTCAAAGGAGCTCCACTGGCCTAGGTCAGGCCCCCTTTTCACGGCTGACTGATACAACCAGGGATTTCTACTCTGGTGCCAACCCAAGACACATCAATGGCTATTGACCTTTTCAGAGAATGAGCGAGTGGGTATAATAAAAACTCTCAATTTTCATCTCTTAGATTTTTGCAGATGAGGAGAATGGTGAGGGCGTCAGTCTCTTTCATTCTTGAGATTTTATGAATCGAGAAAGCAGAGATCATCTGCTGCTTTTCCAGAAGGAAGAAAGGGGGGCTTTTTCATGATATAACTGAGATTCAAACTATGTGAGGATATTATGTCACAGGGATACTGTTGGAGATATATTCTCATATTTGGGAAGAAGCGAAGGGGTTGGGTCATAATGGTTGATTGAAACACGGTAATATTGAAATTTCAATATATACAGATGCAAACTCATTCTATGGGGTTGAGATTGCTATTGAATTCTCGTATGTTCTTGCTGACAGAAACGTGATTGCTATTATTTTTAGAAACCTCCATCTGTTTTGAGGCTTTTTTTACATAAATGCTATTAGTTAGAAACCTCCATGTGTTGTGAGGCTTTCTTCTCTTTGGAGATGATTTCCTTCGTCTTTTTGCTTTTACGCCATTGCTGGGAAATCTGAAGTCAAAGATAACAATTGATGTGGTGACTTATTCTGCTTGCGGTCCTCTTCAGGCTACTGGGTACTGCAATTTTCTTTTTGTGCTCATTACTTTATTTGGCTGTCCAAAGGCTTGCCTTGGTGTCACTCTGATTACTCTGATATTTGCTTTTTTATTTGGCTGATAAATATCTTCACCCAAAGGCTTGCCTTGGTCTGAGCGATTACTCTGATGTTCGCTTTTTTTTGGCGAGTGTGAAATGATTTTGGTTGATATTTCTTTTGTTCTAGCCACATGTTGCTAGGTATGACAACTGGTTGGATTCGGGTGGGTCCTTATAAGATCCGATTGCAGGTCTATTAAGATTCTTTCTTTGGGGTTCCATACGCACTGAATTTGTATTCATATTTTCATGTTGATAATGAATTTGCGCTCAGGTCTTCAAATAGAATTTTAAGTTTCTATTATGGATTGGATTTAAATAGGGTGATCGGATAATAAGCTAATATAGTAATCTTGCCATACTTTATAGTTGATATGTTCCAATCCCTATTAATGTTTTCAGATCCAAATTTATATTCCTTTGGTATTGGATATCTCAATGCACCAGTAATAATCATCAATTGTTTTACGAGTGCTTATAATTCATCTAACTATATTCCTGCCTGTATTAATGTTTTCAGATACCAATTTATACCTCGTGCGGTTTTTCACTCTATTCGGGAAAGAATGGATGATTATGATTTGATGAATTGGGCGAGTATTTACCCCCGCGGGTGTAGTTGAATTGGCACCAAATACTCTCCTTAGAAAATTACTGACATTTAATTGTGTACATGAAAATTGAAGAGAAAAAAAGACGATGACCCTCAATAAATTCTCCTCAGAAATACAACAGCTCGGCAAGCTAATAAAAAAGAAATATATACCAATATCTAATTTCAACTACAAACAGGGGTTCAAATAAGTACAAAAGCACTCTGTTCTTTGTTTTACCATTTAGCTTTCAATTGAAAACCATGCAGATTCAGAACAAGAAAGCAGTCGGAGTGAAGGCTGGGACAGCAAATTGCCTGCAAAAACAACACACAGACCATAAGAGAACTTTTTGGCTATTTCCATCTATATATATATTCTAAAAATTGGAGCACATACATTAATTGCTTGAGGGTATATGAAGTATTTTGTATTTTTTATGGAAAGGTATTGACTATTGAGGTTGTCTTTGAATAGGAACTGTTGGAGTAACATACATATCAAATATATTCGAATTTCAACTCCCAAACTCCAAAGAGTAGTTTAAAAATCAAAATCTTAAAAATAAAATAGTTATTGAATCCAAATTTAGTAAATATCATAAATAGAGCATGAAGTTATTTGATACTTTAAATATATGTGCTATTCTTAATTAAAGTCACCCTAAAATAAGGGCTTCGTAATTATTTTTTATTTTATATTGAACTACTCTTTACGATACAATCATTGGTGAAAGTTTCAAATCTCATTAAGGCCCACTTCATAAAAGGAAAATGATAGTGGCACACCACCAACCACAATTCCAACTACACACTCTCTCTCATTTACTACAGTGCATCGGGCCCCACATGGGATTTTAAAATTTTAAAATCCGAGCCCGGTGCACTGTAGTAAATGAGAGAGATTGTGTGGTTAAAGTTGTGGTTGATGTTGCCCCTAGTACTATTCATAAAATACCATTGGAATAAGGGGGAAAATCAATGTGATTAGATATGTAATTAATAAGTGGGACCCAGCAAATCATTTTTTTAAGGAAAATTTATAGGCAATGCCTTCATCTATATCGGTATCCTGTTTTTAAACCACCATCTGCTGTAATCTTTAATTTTCTAGCACGGTTTGGCTTCAGGCAGTTAGGCATAAATCTAGATATATGATAGTAAAAAATTAATCTGAATTTTTTTATTTTATCTCAGAATTAAACCTTTTCTCTATTTTCTTACTTCCAATTCCCAAAACCTCTTAATTTGTATTGTTATTTCCAGGATCTTTAGAAGAATTTCATGTTTATTTTGACCAGAACTTTTTCATGAAAAAATTTTCAAGGCGCCGACAAGCACGGATCTTGAAGTAAACATCTGCTCGCATGAATACTTATTGTTGAGGTTCAGAAATAGAATATAACCATTAAGAAAAATATTTTTTTTAAAAGAAAGAAAGAATCTCTAAGCTACAAGCTTTACAATTTAATTGTTTACCTTAAATCTTCTCTATCTGATCGATCCACGGTCCTTTTCTTGGCCGCCCTTTTTGGCCTCGCCGGCGTTTTGGCGCCCTCTCCAACGTTTCTCCGATCAACAATTTTCGCCGCCGCAGCCGCCTTCAACACGCCCGCCTCTCGGCGATCGCCTCGAGCGACGTCGTCGCCACTGCTCGAACCCGGAATCCCCGCCCCAGATCCCCGCCGAGGCTTCTCGCGCCGCTTCCGGCGCACGCTGGCGTGGGTAGAGCGCGACGTTTCTCCCGTGCGCCGCAGCGCAACGGCTGGCGCAGCGCCGTCGTCGTCGTCTTATCGACGTTGTGTAGCAGTGATCCTCTCCGGCCGCACTGTACGAATTCAAGAAACCTCATATTGATTGATAATTAATGTAACGCCACGCAGGATTGTTTTCTTCCTCAGCCTCCTGAATTCTATCGGCGTCTCGATACGAGCCCACTAGAGAGAGCTTATAAAGACTTGAATCTCGATCAAGAGCACGGATTTGAGGAATGAAAGGACGAGGATACCCTCGTTATGAGTAGAATCTGGAAGGCAGTTTGGGAATAAAAGATAATTAGTTGGAGGCAATGAATACTAGAGGATAGGGACGGGGGAGTATTTGCCCACATATGGCGGGAACTAGTCTTTTCCCCACCTTCATATATATACCCTGTATTTGCCCTTTCAATTTTGGTATTTGTAAACTTACCCTCCAGGTCTCTCACATTGATTTTTCTTTTCTATATTTCCCCTTATCAATATTAGTTTTTAAACAATAAATTATTGGGAATTTAAACACTGCCTTATTGAAAAAACAAAGTTCTTAAGTTGGAGCGGTAGAATAGCCTGATATGCTAGTTTTGAGGGGTAATTTTGCAAATTCCAATATATGAAGGGTGATTTCATAAATATTGAAGATTGGAGAGAGAGAGAGAGAGAGAGTGTGTGTGTGTATGCAAAAACCACTTTAATTAATCTGAAAACAATTATTAAAATTGACGATTCATGTAATTTTATCCACATGATATTGACTGAAGTAGACTTGGCTAAGTTAGTTGGCTTTCGTTTCCTATTAAATAACAAACCTTTGTTGTGCAATTTATGTATTGCAGTACATTTTTTTATTTAATTAGGAAAACTTGTACTTATTTACTTCATGTCTAAGGGGGTGTTTGGTTGTACAATTTTATAGAAAAGTTCTCTCAAATGTCTGACAATAACAATTCTGTAATTAAAAAATTTCTCTAGATTTTCGTAAACTGTGTTTGTTCAAAAAAATTATAAAAATATTTTCTGTAAAATACAAAAAAGTACCAAAATTAATAGAAATCAAATTCCTCTCAAAATGAGCGGAAATCGCCCAGAAATCTGATACCACATTGATACTTTTCTATAAATTTAGGGGTGTTTTGTTTAAATTCTACAAATTATAAAAAATCTTGCTATTTTCTATAAAGTTATGGGTCATTTTCTTGTTTTGAACCAAACAAGCAAATTAAAAAAAAATGGTACTTTTTGACTTCCCAAAAAAATTCCAATATTTTTTTAAAATACAAGGAAATCATATTTTGAGTGGAAAACATTTTCTATAATTTATAGAAATTAAACCAAACACCCCCTAATAATATTATAATTGATACAACATGTGTATGAATATACATAACATTATCAACATACCTCCGTGATTATGGGAGACAATTTATTTACATGTTTTACTATATACAACTTCATTATTATTGGAGAGAATCATGCCATCCAGAGTAGGAATAATTTGAATTATTTGACATGTATTTCATGAATTTACACATGATAGAGATGAAGGGGATTATCACTTCTACTACAAGCTTTTCTTATTTGTGGTACCTTCCATAGTTGCTTGATTAACTTTAATCGTTTCTATTTACAAGCTTTTTCCTTATTTATGGTACCTTTCATAGTTGCTTGATTAGCTTTAATTGTTTGACACAATCTTACGATTGAGATTCCAGCTCCATCATCATACAAAAAAAATAAACCATAATCCTTTTAAAAACATGAGTTCGGCAAAATCTTTTCATGGTCAATATTACCCTTCACTATTTTAAATATTTTATTTATATTTTAATCTATCCTAATTATAATTATATCATACCCTAATCCTACGTGAACTATTTATAGCTCAACAATTTAAACAAATAATATTAATAAAACATATAAAATAGTTTTACGGTATTAGTTTGTTAAGATAAAGAAATTATATATAACTAATATACTATAATAAATAAAGTATTACAAAAAAACCTAAAAAGTTTTAAAATTGCATGAAATACTCTAAAAAATTTAAAATTATAAAAATATCCTAACGTTTCAAAACTTAAAACAACAAACATTAATCAAGAAATTAACAGCAGTCTATGGAGAATTTAAAATTTGAAGTTAACACTTGAATGTCTCAAAAATTATACAAACACCAACAAAAATTTAAATTACAAACAAGTACCCTGAAATTCTAAAATTTTAAAAATTTTAAACAACATAAATGAATTTAAGGGATTATCATAATGCACCAAAAAATTTAACATTTCAAACTTAGAACAACAAACATAAAATTAAGAAATTAACACCGTTCTTTGAAGAATTTAAATTTTCTAATTAACACCCTTAATGCCTCAAAAATTATAGAAACATCCTTAAAAGTTCAAATTATAAAAAATCATAAAAAATTCTAAAATTTTAAAATTTACAAACAACAAAAGATGAATTTAGGAGATTACCTTCATGCACCTAAAAATTAAAAATTACCAAAATTAACCTTAAAGT